TCTCTCTCTCTCTCTCTCTCTCTCTCTCTCTCTCTCTCTCTCTCTCTTTCTGTGTGTGTGTGTGTGTGTGTGTGTGTGTGTGTGAGTGTGTGTGTGCGTGTGGTGGTAGTGGTATTACTTAGAAAGCATGAATCTTTTTTTTTCTTTCTTTATTAAGGTGCATTATCAGTAACTACCAAGTTAGAAAGGATGAATCTTAACAGATCTCCCACTGATCGGTCTTCACGGTTATGGTTCAGTTTCTACGCAAAGAAGCTTTGGCAAACGTGGTCATCAACACTTATTTGGTCTTAAGTATATAACATTCAAATTTCCATATGGACCTTTAATAATAAGGTCGAAGTAAACAAAACCCCTCGAGAACTATTATGAGTGCGTGTATGGATGTCCGCTTTACTTTAAATCTGGGCTGAGAATGCTGGAGACTGAAAACGGTAAAGCTCTAAGTATTATTTAGCCAGATTTGAGTTTTAACAAGCTACAAAGCTTTAATTGACCGTAAGCCTTTCTCCTTAGAGGAGAGGCACTTTTCCTCTGGGGAGACACGGTCTCTCTTTCACTGGGCTTTTGCTTTCTTCTGAAACACTATATAATCAAGTGACTTTCCTTGCCGCGGTGCCTGGGGACAGCTGATTTTTCTCCGAGGATAAAGAAAGTTACATATTGATTGCTGTTGCTCGCGGTGTGTTGGCACTAGCGCGGGACAGAAGCGGGCGCGCTAGCCCTCGCATTTACACACACTCACTGAAATACACAACACACACACCCCGCCTCAGAAACACACACACACCTCACGTACATACACACACACCCCACGTACATACACACACACCCCTCTGCACCTCATTTAGATGGGTCCATGCGCAGGCAGAAGATCTGCGCCTCCCTTGGTGTGAATGAGTGTATGGTGCGCGCGCGCGCGCGTGTGTGTGTGTGTGTATACAGAACCCTATCAGGAAAACCGCAGCTACCCTATTCTGCAAGCTCGCTGCGATTCCGGTTTCCGTGTACACCGGATAAAACAATAAATAAATCGCTGCCAGACTTCTTTTTTTTTTTTTTTAATTCTCTCTTTTCCAGAGGAAGACGGTGGAGGCGTTTCTCCCGGTAGTTAAAGACTCAGGAGACGCTGCGGCGAGGCCCTGGGCAAAGCCGCCACAGCACACACGGGGCTCGGCTAGCCCGGCTGGTCTCGCACGTAACTGATCTAATCAATGGCTCTGAAGCTCGGAGGCTCCGGGCTCCGCCCCCGCCAGTCTCTCCTCCGCCTTCCATTGGGCGCGGGCCGAGGAGGCAGAGCCTTGCTCCTCGCGCGGATTGGCTGGCAGGAAATCAGTATCAATGTTTAAGCGGCGGCGTGAGGTGAATAGACTCAGTCAGCAAGAGACGCTGGGGAGAAAGCAGGGACTGCGAGCCCCGCGGATGCGGCAGCGCGGAGGGCGGCTGGGGAGACGCTACTCCAACTGTTGAATTTTCACCTTTCATTTCCACCGATGCTTTGCTTGCGGAGATGGATATATTTGCTTTGAAATCCGCACGTCTTTCGCAGGCTGTGAGCTGATCGTGACAGGCACCAGACTGAGAGACCACCCGTGACAAAAAAGGAGGACCCCCCAAAAAAAAACCAAAAAAGCAAAAACCTCCACAACGGACTGCACAATTAACTACGCACACCGGTGTTGGACTTTGTGAATAGAGAACATTGAGAGGAAAATCGTGAAATATGATGCGGGGCTAATCTGTGAACAGTCACTGTAATCCAGATTTGTTTTTTTTTTTTCCCCCAAGACTCTGAAAGATTTGGGGGTTCCTTACGCCTAACAAAAAGGGAAGGTTTTTTTGTCGTTGTTTTGTTTTGTTTTTGTTTTTAAATAAATACACCTTGCAAAACAGACGCCTTGCTATCCAGAGCCTCGGACTCCGGCAGAAAGAGGTAGAGTAAAAGTGCTGCTGGATTCAGCTTCACCTCCTTCCTTCCCTCCCTCCCTTTCTCTCGCTTTTTCTTTTTCTCCAAAACATGAATCTGGCTTTTCTGTCTGTAGAGTGAGTCAGAGAAAGCATTAGGAAGAAGCCACAACTAATGTCTGTGAAGGGAGGACGATGAGGCGAGAGTGAATACGATTCGTTCCGCTACTTCTGACTCATCCGGCAGATCGGAACACCTGCATTTCTGGATGTGTCATTCCTGTTTGTCGAGGCGCCTCGACAACCCGAAATAGTGTGTAGACAGACCCGTGCCTAGTATCCCCTGGGCGGTAGCTACCCGGGGAGGGCTCCCCTGGCTGGACCGCCGCGGCCGCAGCTCCTCGCCCGCTGCCCTCGCTAGTCGCCCAGAGAGACTGCGAGAGCGAGACTGCAGAATGCATCACGCCAAACCTTGATGCGTTCCTTTCATCCAGCCCACTCCTCCTACTATAGAAAAAATTGAAGAAAGAAAAAAAAAAAAAAAAAGCCCGCACTTTATTCGCTTCAAATATTCACCACTTTTATTCCTCTCCAAGGTTTTGTTTTCTAGATGAAGAGACCTGGGAGGCAGGGCCTTTGGAAGGAGATGCTGAATAGAAAGAAAAGAGAGGCACTTGACAGCCCAGCCCTGTGAATGCAGAGACTGTTTTCCTTCTAGCGAGAGACAGGGAGAGTGTGTGTGCGAGGACTGGGAGGGTGGCTCCCCCTTCTTTTTTATTCCGCCTCTCCCTTCCCCTTCAAATCTGCACATCCAACCATGAGTTGCCTGTTGATTTCCTTTCGCCTGGGAAGAAAAGCAAACTGGAATTAAACTGCATCGAGAGAAGTCCTTACTTGTGGGGAGAGAATGGGATGGTAGCGGCGGCTACTGGCTCAGCGTAGAGAAATTACAGAGTGTGTTCTACCAACAGAGGCGGAGATACATCTATACATTTTTTCCCCTCCCAGTAGACTCAAACCTCAAATGCTGATCAGGCTGTGGCTTTCTTGACTTGGGGAAGAGCCTTTTCCGAGGAAGAGAGGGAGGAGCCTCGTGGAGGGAGGAAACTACAAATCGGGACACTAGTTTTTTGCGCTGCATTTCCTCCCCTCCCTTTGGCTGCTCGGAAAGGAGAGAGAGAGAGAGAGGAAAAACATATATATCCTTGGCTGGGAGATGCAGTCTGCCGCCACCGCTGCCTCAGCCAGCAATGCAAGATTAGATCTCTAAATGCAGCAAAACACCGCCTGAAAACAGACCAACCCGCGAAGCAAGCAGATAATTCACAGGGCTCCGGCTATTTTGAAGCTTCAAATATATCTGACTGTCTCTTCGTTGTTCCTCATCCCCAGCAATTTCATCACAAGAGAGGAGAAACAAGTAAGGATTTCACTTTCTGATCTGCCTAGAGACACACCTCCCCGCTCCCTCCCCCACCCGATGTGAAGAGTATTCCGGAGGCAAAAAGCTGGAGTGGATTTGCAGCGCCCTAGCGGGAGCGAGGAAAACCTACGGATTCTTTAGCTCATTATCATCCTTCCCAAACGCGATTTCCTTCTTATCGCTTGTCTCATCGCTCAAGTTTGAGTCGCCCGAAGTCCGGGCGGGAGAGACAAAGCTCCGGGCTCGCCCCCAGCTGCAGGGAGCCGCCGCCTTGCTCAGTGCCCCTGCAGCTCTGCTGCACCGCTGCTTCTCGCCCAGTGCGGATGCTGTAGATCAACAGGTTCAGGGAACTTGAGCGGAATAAAGAGAGACCGCCGGGTGCCGCAGCCCGGGAGCGGAAGGAAGGAAGGATCCATAGACTTGTGGCTTGGATCGGGGTCGCACGCTGCGCCTGGGCCCCAAGCTGGCGCGCACCCATCCACTCGCCCCTCCAGTCCGGCTGCTCCTGACAGCACCCCACCGGTCTGGGATGTACCTTTCCATCTGCTGCTGTTTCCTCCTATGGGCCCCTGCCCTGACGCTCAAAAACCTGAACTACTCCGTGCCCGAGGAGCAAGGGGCCGGCACGGTGATCGGCAACATCGGCAAGGATGCTCGACTGCAGCCGGGGCTTCCGCCCGCAGAGCGAGGCGGCGGTGGCGGGCGAAGCAAGTCGGGTAGCTACCGGGTGCTGGAGAACTCGGCGCCGCACCTGCTGGACGTGGAAGCCGACAGCGGACTCCTCTACACGAAGCAGCGCATCGACCGCGAGTCCCTGTGCCGCCACAACGCCAAGTGCCAGCTGTCCCTCGAGGTGTTTGCCAACGACAAGGAGATCTGCATGATCAAGGTAGAGATCCAGGACATCAACGACAATGCTCCCTCCTTCCCGTCGGACCAGATTGAGATGGACATCTCAGAGAACGCGGCCCCCGGCACCCGCTTCCCCCTCACCAGTGCGCATGACCCCGACGCGGGCGAGAATGGGCTCCGCACCTATCTGCTTACGCGCGACGACCACGGCCTCTTCGCGCTGGACGTCAAGTCCCGCGGCGACGGCACCAAGTTCCCAGAGCTGGTTATCCAGAAGGCCCTGGACCGCGAGCAGCAGAACCACCACACGCTCGTGCTGACCGCTCTGGATGGCGGCGAGCCGCCGCGCTCGGCCACCGTGCAGATCAACGTGAAGGTGATTGACTCTAACGACAACAGCCCCGTCTTTGAGGCGCCGTCCTACCTGGTGGAGTTGCCCGAGAACGCCCCGCTGGGCACCGTGGTCATTGATCTGAATGCCACCGACGCCGACGAGGGTCCCAACGGCGAAGTGCTCTACTCTTTCAGCAGCTATGTGCCCGACCGCGTGCGGGAGCTCTTCTCCATCGACCCCAAGACCGGCCTGATCCGTGTCAAGGGCAACCTCGACTATGAGGAGAATGGGATGCTGGAGATCGACGTGCAGGCCCGAGACCTGGGTCCCAACCCCATCCCGGCCCACTGCAAGGTCACTGTCAAGCTCATCGACCGCAATGACAACGCTCCGTCCATTGGTTTTGTCTCCGTGCGCCAGGGGGCGCTGAGCGAGGCCGCTCCGCCCGGCACCGTCATCGCTCTGGTGCGGGTCACTGACCGAGACTCGGGCAAGAACGGGCAGCTGCAGTGCAGGGTCCTGGGCGGAGGAGGGGCGGGCGGCGGCGGCGGCCTGGGCGGGCCGGGCGGTTCCGTGCCCTTCAAACTTGAGGAGAACTACGACAACTTCTACACGGTGGTGACTGACCGCCCGTTGGACCGCGAGACACAGGACGAGTACAACGTGACAATCGTGGCACGGGACGGGGGCTCGCCTCCACTCAACTCCACCAAGTCGTTCGCCGTCAAGATTCTGGACGAGAATGATAACCCGCCTCGCTTCACCAAGGGGCTCTACGTGCTGCAGGTGCACGAGAACAACATCCCAGGAGAGTACCTGGGCTCGGTGCTTGCCCAGGATCCTGACCTGGGCCAAAACGGCACAGTGTCCTACTCCATCCTGCCCTCGCACATCGGCGACGTGTCCATCTACACCTATGTGTCTGTGAACCCCACCAACGGGGCCATCTACGCCCTGCGCTCCTTTAACTACGAGCAGACCAAGGCTTTTGAGTTCAAGGTGCTTGCTAAGGACTCCGGGGCGCCCGCGCACTTGGAGAGCAACGCCACTGTGAGGGTGACAGTGCTAGACGTGAATGACAATGCTCCGGTGATCGTGCTGCCAACGTTGCAGAACGACACGGCTGAACTGCAGGTGCCGCGCAACGCCGGGCTAGGCTACCTGGTGAGCACCGTACGCGCCCTTGACAGCGACTTCGGCGAGAGCGGACGCCTCACCTACGAGATCGTAGACGGTAACGACGACCACCTGTTTGAAATCGATCCATCCAGCGGCGAGATCCGCACGCTGCACCCTTTCTGGGAGGACGTGACGCCGGTGGTGGAGCTGGTAGTGAAGGTGACTGACCACGGCAAGCCCACTCTGTCGGCGGTGGCCAAGCTCATCATCCGCTCGGTGAGCGGCTCTTTGCCCGAGGGGGTTCCCCGGGTGAACGGCGAGCAGCACCACTGGGACATGTCGCTGCCGCTCATAGCGACTCTGAGCACTATCTCCATCATCCTCCTAGCGGCCATGATCACTATCGCCGTCAAGTGCAAGCGCGAGAACAAGGAGATCCGCACTTACAACTGCCGCATCGCAGAGTACAGCCACCCGCAGCTGGGCGGGGGCAAGGGAAAGAAAAAGAAGATCAACAAAAATGATATCATGCTGGTACAGAGCGAGGTGGAAGAGAGGAATGCCATGAACGTCATGAACGTGGTGAGCAGCCCCTCCCTGGCTACCTCCCCCATGTACTTCGACTACCAGACCCGCCTGCCCCTCAGCTCGCCCCGGTCGGAGGTGATGTATCTCAAACCGTCCTCCAACAACCTGACTGTCCCTCAGGGACACGCGGGCTGCCACACCAGCTTCACCGGACAAGGGACTAATGCGAGCGAGACGCCGGCCACTCGGATGTCCATAATTCAGGTAGGAGACTCTTAGCATAACTGGGACTTTACATTTTGCTGGGTTTGGAGCTGTCCTGAAATCTTTGGAACAGGACTAGCCACACTGCTAGTAGCAGTGAGCAGGGAACTTTTTTAAATGAAAAGGATTTACACTTTTGCCACTGCGTGTACAACATATTCTATACATAACTCCTCCCATGTAAATAGTGAAGAATCTACAAGATGTAAATGTCTTAGTTTTGCATTTTTAAAGTTTATTTTTATAGGTTTTAAAATGTTACCAGGGTTCACTATTTAATAGTTTATTTTACTTTATTTGTTGGTCTACATTTCTCTCCACAACAGAGGATTACTAGAGAGAGAAAAAAAATTGTTTCACTTAATTGACTTTAATATTTTTATTTCATTAAAAAAAATCTGATGGCAAAAGAAAGAAATGTATACCCCAATATTAAGAAGTAAATTACCTGAAGCACAACATAGCAACCGGTCAGAATTCCAGAGCCTGAATCAATTTGATATAAGGTTTCACTCCCCACTCCCGGAAAAATGTCAGTTTTTATATTTAAAAAGTGTTTTATATTTAAAAGTGCTCATGAATCTCATTTATTCTTCAGCTGAAACTGTAGCATAATGCATTAGTGTAGCTTAAGGGTTGGAACTGTGAATTATGCTCTGAAGATCTTTCAAAAGTTTGAAAAAATATAGGCTCTGGATAATGACTAGTATCTATCTATGAAAAGTTTATATTTATTTTGTCCTCTGATTTTTTTCCTGGTCTTCTTCCTTGGAGTCATTGAGGGATGAACAGAGTACACTAGAGGGGTGTACTCACTCTGTGCTGTTGAAAACAGGAGGCAAAGCTGCACTAAAGACACTGGTGCCAAAAAGAATTCAAGGTTGCATTTAGTTTGCATACTGAGTATTTTCAGTATATCTAGGTGATATTTAATATATATTAGATAGTATAATTTAAGGTTATTGGTATATGAAAAAAACTGACCCAGCATGGACACTAGACTCTAACAACAGCAGGTGACTATACTGTGTCTAGTTACTACCTAGTTTCTTTTCTCCACATACTGAGTTGTGTTATGAAAAAACCTTAATTCTTGCTTATTATGAATGCATGTTGCTACAAATTACTCTGGATGAACAATACTTGAAATACAAAATTGAGTTTAACTAAAAGTGACATTTTGGGAGGAAGATTAGTCTGGGACAAATGAAAATAATTTGTTCACAGTTTTGTGCTTTGAAAAAGCAAATACTGTTTTTATTATTAAAACAGAGTAGTACAATTTCATAATCTTATACTTTTTAACATAAGTGTAACAAATACTAAAACTCAGCAGAACATTTTCTTATAATAGGGTAACGTCCTTGTAAAACAGACTCGTACTTGACGCTACCGAATACTAGAATATCCACTGTAGTATTAAATCACACCTTTTACAGTGTTTACTACATACCAGTAATCATGAATTTTTGGAGATCTATATAAAACTGAACAAGATATTCCTCCCATAAAAACTGTAGTTTCTATGAAAGTCTATGAGTGTGTAAAACTGGTATTTATGATAATTTCTTTAGAGGGATATATGTTAAATATATATATAGATCTTTTGCAGTCATTTTATAAATACACATTTGTTATATACCTTTCTTATATTTTTACCATTGACAGTTAAAAAGATATCACAGAGGGTTAATGCTTCATCTTTCACTTCAAGTACTATGAGTTGAATTCTTATTTAGGGTCCAGTAAAAATGAAGTTTGTGCAGTAGAATTCTCAGCAAGCCTGAATCCTGGTCAGATTAGTGAGGAACAATGTTGGATAGAAGTATCCAGGAGGTTTTGAGGGACAGGGGTCCCTATACAGTGTTTACACCTTACTGTTCTTGAAGCTGGTCATTGCCCAAGGGATGGATGATGATGATTCCTCTCATTAGCAGTAAAACTTGAGCCAAAGCAAATCTCTCTCTCTCTCTCTCTCTCTCTCTCTCTCTCTCACACACACACACACACACAAAGGGAGAGAGAGAGTTTAAACAGCAAACAAAGGAGACAAACTTCCTTGCTATTCCCTTTCTTCTGGAATCTTAATTCATGCCATAAAGACACAGAAAATGTTTAAGTTCTTGAATTTGTTTCCATAGTGGCTCAGTTGCCCATATTGCTTCTGCCCTGGAAATATCCTCAATATAAAATGTTAAAACAGGCTCTTTTTTTTTCTTCTATTGAATTTTTGTTGTCCTATGAGGGATGCCTTTTAAATTCCTAGTATGTTAATTTCCTTTTAAATGTGTCAGGTTTTTCTCAGTGCCTATTATGGAGAAAAGAGTAAGCTGACTACAGTGACCTTGCTGTCCTTTTTTTTTAAACTAGTGTGCTGCACTTTGTGCTGACGTGACATGCCCAAATTAAAGTGTTCAGGTGTCCCATATTCTTGTTTCAAGTGCATTTATTAGCGTGTGTTTATTTAACACAGCCTGCTGAGGAAACACACTATTAATCTCATGTATATTTCTGAAGGAAGAATTTTAATTCACAGTGCAACTGGGCTGGCAGCTACTAGGTCTGGTTTATCTTTATTTTCCAGCATCTTGGGTGCTGTTTAGAATATTCCCAGAGTATTTCTATTGATGGAATGAAAATAATATCATAATTGTTTTGAGATAGAATGGTAAAGAGTGGTGATATGAAACAGGAACTTTAGGACTTAAAAGAAAAAGACTCATGTTACAGCTCAAGTTCAAATTTCTCAAAAGATTTTGTGTGAATCGCAGGGTCTAAAATTTTAAGATTAAGATATATAGGTTTGGGAGCATAAGAGTATTTTTATTGAAAATGGATACAGAACAGTCATGTAAACTGGTGTAGAAACAGTGGTTCAGGAGAAAGTATTTTATGGCAGATTTTCTTCAAGTTTCTCAGTCCAAGTAAAGTCAGTCTATGAACTGTTTAATCACTATTGACTAGTGATTAAAATATCCTCAGTGGTGTGAATCATAATATAACATTGTTATAATGAGATATTTTATTTATTTTAAAGCTACAAAAGTGATTTGTGAAAAATAGGAACATAGATTTTGTGATAGGTAAGGCAAACATATTATTAAGCAAATTTATAAAAGCACTCTTCATAGGAGCAATTTCCATGTGAATTATTTCATAGGTTAATATGAGAATCTGAAATCAAGTAGAGGTCATTACTAATTGTCACGAGTAACTGCTAATCGTGGTTTATCAAGAATTATTTGTCCCGGGGTAACTTTTCAACAGGTGTTTTCAATGAAGGTCATGCTGCGAAGAGGGAGGAGGCTGGGGACTTCTCACTGGTGGGAGAAATTTCCAGTTTTGTTGGAACATCTGTATTTTCAGAATTTTTTTTGGTAGCACGTAAAATGTAGTAATTTTAATATGCTGTCATAGAAGAAAATATATTGAGCCAGCAGAATAAGATCTATTGAAATACATTTTTAAAAGGTATACATTCTTACACAGTGTTTTACAGTTCAGTTTTAAAAGATTCACATTTCGGTTGACTTTAGATTTTTTATGCTGGAAGAGGAAATCCTTTTGATATAACTGGACGGCCTTTTCAATAAAAGCAAATTAAACACTTATAATCAATACAGATATATAAAAATGAGATTGAGGAATAGAGGGCTAAAGTATCATAGTGTAGACAATAAACTCAGTATTTTAGAATGAAAGGGTGAAAGAAAAAGTCTTTCCTAGCAACATTAACCATTGTCTGCCTTGTTACTACTTCTCTAATACAAGAGATTCTTGGCTTGAGACTCAGATGAGTTTTCAAGTCCATGATGTTCAAAAATTCATACTCTAGTATGTTAGTGATTTCAGTAACAAGCACAAAGTGTGTGAACAATTTTTTCATTTACGATTTTAAAGAGTTTTTACAGTGTTATTCCAATATGGCACAGTTTGATCAATTACATGCATTTATTTCCATAAACTTGATATACTTCTCTATTTCTAGGGGTTTGGTGGGCTGAGAAGGAAGGGGATATCCCTTTCTTACTGCATGCCTCTAGTACTATCTTGTCCACTTTTCTTTTTTTTTTAAAGTTTTTTAAAAGATAGGATTAATTTCTACTTCAAATTAACATGAGTACACAATCATAAAACATATATTTCTGTTTTACCATATATTAAAAGTAGCACAAATAAAGTGGAAGCAAGTTTAACTAAAAAGATAATGATTAAAGTGGTTTGAGTTTCTTTGGAGAAGAGTTTAAAATCCAAATTATTATAATCATTCTTAATATATTATTTTTATTCTTAGTTTTGTGTGCACCCATGAAAATCTCAGCTTCAACGTAAATCTCTCTACATTTCTCTATTTTATAATAATATGAAAACACAAAACACATAACTTTTTTACTATATGAATTAGAAACCTGAGAATCTCATTTTTAATATTAGTTGATCTAACTACTCATGAGGTATTAACTTCTTTACCGATTAGTTTTTAGTTTTCAATACAATTCTCAAAATATTAGCTAGGTAGTACTTCATCATCCTTACAGTCTTATCCTTACATTCTTATCAGTCTTTTAAAAATGTAAGAGTAAGAAGATTTTTAATTTTACTTAAGGTCTTTTAGTGAGTTCTATAATTTTACTTGAATTCTATGACTGAATTTTATAATATCAATAAATATTGTCATATAGAAATCTGCACGGATGACTTTGAAATTTTATTCTTGGCCTCATCACGTTATTTAAGGCTGTGTGCGATCATGAAAAATATCAGATCATAGAAAAGTATGCCCTAAAATTCCTATCTCAACTTCTTGAACATATTTTCTGGTCAAGAAAAAAATTGTACATGTTCTAAAACATTACCTATTGCCTATAACTATATTGATCAAGCCACACCCAAAAAATAAAATAAAAACATATTTTCTAGAAACTTTTCTTTATAAAGTTGATATTATAATGCATATTATTCACTGTTTTATGGTACACAGATACACATTTATATATGAG